GGGGCGGGACGGCACTGTTGCCGGTGGGTGTGGCCTGTACACGGCGCAGACTTCTACCTACACCCCTACACCCTGGCTCACAAGCTCTTCAGAAACACATGTGCCTGCCTCAGTGCTTGAGGGTACTCAGCCCTCTCACGGGCACGAGATGTGTGCACCCCAACACAAACACATATGCACACAGCTCTCACCCCGCCCATGCCCAGCTCAGAGACACACCCAGGGCCAAACAGGACCCTCAACTCCCTGAACACACATGCAAATGGATGCCCACAGGCAAGCCACAGCCCCCCAGGGAGATGTATTCGGCACACACCAGGTCCTCTCAAGGTCTGCACTGACGTCCTGTGTCAACTCTGTGAGGGGGACACTGAGGCACGAGTGTGGCGAGACTGGCCCTGGAGGGCACACAGAGCTGAGGTTGGAGTGGGCGCCAGTACCTGTGCTCTTGGCCGGCCGGTTCCTTTGCTTCTACGCTGTACACACTTGGGACAGGACGGCGGAGGGCAGGGGGAGGGATAGAAACAGAAGCCTTTGAGGGTTGCTTCCGTGAGCGTGGACAGAACGCAGCGATTCCACATCGGGGGCAACAAGGCCGCCCCGCCCCCCACCCCCACCCTCCTGTTTCTGGTTTGGGATACTGGGGGCGGTGCCATTTTCAGAGGTGACCGCAGCAGAGGGTGGGGACTGGAGGAGGCCTGTGGGCAGCAAAGAGGACAGAGGTCCACTCCTTCTGCAGGTGGGGAAGAGTCTGGGCAGAAACAGCGGCCGGCTGGCCGGACAGGGTGGAGGAAGCCCTGCTGCCAGGGTGGGGGTGGGGTGGGCGTTGGGGCAGTCTCGGGCCAGGGACGCCTGGGTAAATAAGATGCCCCAGGGAGGGGAGGGAGGCCTGGCCATGGGTCAGGGGTCAGAGCCTTGGAATGTCAGCGCTCCAGGGTCCCCGGAGACCGTCTCTCTGACCCCTTCCCTGTGTCCCATTGCATGGTGGGCAGCCAAGGCCCGGAGAAGCAGGGGGGCAGTCCCAAGGCTCTCATCTAGGCAAGATGGAGAGCAGGGAGCTGTCGCTCACCTGCTACCCAGCTCCCTGCCCCCAGGCCTGGCTTCTGGGCCAGATGCACCGATGTGAACTGGTGCCTCAAGGCCCGGCTTCAGGGTCCAGCTACTTCCTCCTTCCTCCCTCCCTGCAGGCCATCCCTGCTCTCCACACCCCGGCTCTGCATCAGACTCATCTCCCCACACTCCAGCACGCCAGGATTAGGAATTGAGACTCTTCCTAAGGGCCACTTGCTAAATTGCTGGCAGAGATGGGACACAGACTCCAGCCTCCTGACTCACAGTCTCGTGTCCCTGCCTCCACTGGAGCCTTGCGCAGCCCTGGGACAAGCCTCAGGGGACCTACCAGACCTGCCCCCTTGCTGCCTGCTATACCACCCTGTCCCTCTGGGCCTCCTTTTGTCCATCTTTGCAATGGGGTGGGCAGGGCCGTCCTGGGTGCCCATACAGGCGCTGGGACCCTGCTCGGGAAGGCAACTGGGCAGAGCTGGAATGCTGGAGTGGGGGTGCTGGAGAGGGGCCCCAGCCAAGATGTCATGACTCAGCTCAGAGAAGGCAGCCAGCTCAGGGCCTGGGAGTGTGTGGAGGCAAGAGGCATCTGAAGCCAGGCTCAGAGTCCTCCTGCCAGCAGCGAGGAGCACGTGAGCGAGGCCGCAGTGCAGGCTGGGCCCGGCACCGAGTCTGGCCTCAGCAGCCTCACCCCCATGGGGCACAAGAGGGGGG